AGAGATGTAGAGAGTCTTTAGCAGCCAGAACTCTGGGTGATACGAGCGGTTCGCCAGGAACGGCTCGGTATCGTCCGTTCCCATGGGCCAGTGAGGACGCAAGAATTCTCTGATACGCACGACGTTGGTGACGCTGAGCTCCTTAAGATGATGAGCGGCACGCCGGAGCTTTTCACAGAGCTTGGCACCGCTGTCGCCTTCAGCAAGCGTCTCGTGGGGGATCTGGCGCCACGATGATATCGTATTGGACATGATGGTGAGAGATTCTAATGAGGTGGGCCACTTAGTCATGGAACCGGCGAATTCTGGCCAGTGTTAGTGAGGGGACCCGGAGGGTAGCAACATCATCATGGAACGCACGGTTGAAATGGATTTTGCGGGTTTCCTTCTTGCGGTCCTTTGTGATGTCGAAATTGGCTGTTCGCAACCCGGGCAGCCGGGCGATGATGTCGGCATGAGCGGCGGGCATCAGCGCCCGGTGGTTCTGAGGGCTCACGGTGAATGACCTTATCACCTTAACCACAGGCAGGTGGTTAACCCGGTCAAACTCCTCATCCTGGCCGACGAAATCGATCCAAGAGTCGGCGAAACGCTTTTCGCCGATATCTTTGATATTCCACCTGCGTCGTTGCCATAGCTCAAAGTTGGCGTTGCGGAGGTCACTGGGTGAAGAGATGCTTAGTGAGAAATCGATGCCGTCACGGGTCGCATCCTCTGGTTTCCAGGAATTCATGATGCCAAATAGACGGTAAAATGCAAGAGTAAAGCACGAGTTATTCTCGGCCTTATCCTCCCAGGTCTCCTTCTTTTCGCAGGGATCATTGTCGTAGGCGGGCAGGTCGACGTGTAGGTTGATCCGCTGGACGAGTTGGCGGCGAGAGCCGACCATGGAAGACTCAAAGTCGTCAAGATTGGCCAGGGTGACTTTGAGGACGGAAAAGTTGGAACGCTCGACGATGGCCTGCCACTCCTTGCAGACCAAGGCGTAGTCGGCGAGGGAATCGGACTCATCGCCGTAGCGGCAGTCAGCGACGGCACACTCAACAACGGCTGTACGGAGTTCTGGCGGTAAGAGACAGAACTTATCCATTCTGCTCGCGGGCACCTCCAATACCGATACTCCGGAAGCGGACATGGTGGAAGGTGAGAGAGAGGAATGAATAAAGACTGTTTTTCCCGGCAAAAAGAACGAGTGAGGTTACGGGATGAGACGGCACGACGTTGACTTGAGTTCGGCTGTAGCCCGCCCAGTCCGCTGAGGCTGCAGTCGGTAACTGTCGGTCAGAGCAAGGTCAGGTAGGGCGTGGGCTTGGGTTGGGTAGGGGCGGGGAGGAGCGCACCTGATCAGAATGGGAAGGAGGGGACAGAAGGGTACATGTCGAGCCGCGAGCGTTTAGCCTGGCAGGAGATGTTACTCAGATGGACGAAACCTCAAAGTACCCGTCCGCTCGTTTGTTAGCGGTGATGTGACTGGGTGGTGGTACTTTGTAATAATCGGATAGGTAGTAAGGAAGGTAGGTAGTCACGAAACCTGGTACGAATGGCGGGTGCGGGGTGTCACGGGCAGTTGCTTGTTGGAGGTGGCGGATGGCAGATGGCGCCGGATGGCCTTGGGGATGAATCTGTACTCGAAGCAATTGTTCTGCTGTTCTCCTTTGAACCTGTCGTCTTCAAATCTGCAAGACGTTGCGTTTGTACGATGCCCCCAAACGAGATTCAAAGGCAAGGGAGACCGCCATACCTATGAGAGAGGCGGTGATAGAGGGGTACGGTGTACTCCCATCAAGGTACCTACGCACATACGGGTAAGGTACCTTGGGGTCTGTAATCGCTTCCCCAGTCAAGGTGTCTTATCGAAGTGCATCCTGCTAGGTACCTAGGTACCTTACCTTACCTATCTCGATATGCTCCACTTTCTCTATCGATAACAATTAACACAAGGGATAGCGCGGGAACGATAAGACTTCCGTGGGGACGCTGGTGGTTGACTTCGGTCCCTCAGGATTCAGGTTTCTTCAGGGTCCATTCCCGTTCCCGCAGATTAAAGGGATGGGGACTGTCCAGTTTCGTCGTCTGTTCGGATGCTTCCATTGTCAAGCATAAATCAAACACGAGCCGATCTTCCATCCGCAACCTGTTCTTCCATACCGTCTTAGGAATTTCCTGGGAATGAATTACTCACATCTCAGCCTGTCTCGTCGCAGGCCACTTCACCGCCAAGGCCTGGCCCCAGCCAGTGTTGCGGGCTGGAACCAGCCTGGTCTGGCGCGCTGTATTACCCGATGGCACCGGGTTTCACTGTGACTCTGGGCCACTGACATGTCTGCACCAACGACCTCCACCGGTCCTGGAGGCGGGGCCATCCTGAGGCTTCAGACCTGGCGGGACCTCTTCAGAATGCAGATTCTAGTGGGGTGAACCTGACCTGTAAAGTGTTCCAGCGGGATCCTCTCTGAATCAGGGCTAGTGCGGGGTTGCTGCTGCGCCCACTGCTGGCATTTCTGATCCTGTCGTTGACTGCAATCGCCCGCCTCAGTCCCCCCCCTTTCGTGGAGTGGTGAGCTGCTGGTGAGGTGCTAATTATATTGCCTGGTGGAGAGAAATTGGAGTTGGAACCCTGCCGTGCCTGCCTAGGTCTGAAGTGTGGTCCTCTCTCTCACGCCTTCCCTTCCGTCTCTCAGGTGCTGAAAGCTCCGATGACGAAACAAGAACTGGCGCAGTCAGTCTCTTTTCTTCTTTTCTTCACCCCATCTGCCCCCCTCCTTCTGCCGTCTGCCGAGTGTTCATCAAGCCCAGACTTTTCTTCAACGACCATCGACCAACCCCTCCAATGTCACAGAGGTCATTCGAGTAGTTGAACACCATGATTGAAGCGACAAATCCTCCTCTTGCCATGGCCGACAAGCCCAGCGGCCTCCAGGCTCTGCGCGAGTCTAAGCCACCCGCCACAGACACCTTCACCTACCTGACCATCATTGGCGAGGTCCTCTCCCCCGAGATCCTGCCTGACCTGAACGAAATCCTCCAAGACACCCAGCTCACCCAGGATATCGGATGGGACTTGGTCGAGATGCTTGTGCCCGTTCAGGGCAGTCAGCAGTGCCTCAAGACCATTGCTCAACTGGGCAACCCGCGCGAGGTCATTCTTAAGGTCCTCGAGGTTTTGGAAAAGACTGTCGAAGAGGCCACCGACGAGGAAGACGATCCCGCGACGACGGCGACATTCGTTCACCTGGTCGGCATGTTGAGCATCCTCCACAAGCGATTGAACGTCGCGCGCCCCTCTCGCTTCGTTCACACGACCCTTCAGAGCGTCTACCGCACCTACCATCCCCGCAATCCCGAAATGACGGCTGCAGTCATTGCCCTCGTCCGCTCCCTTTCTGGCGATAAGCGCCCGCCGCTCCCTACCCGTCAGTCCAGCAACAAGCTCGACACTCCCTTTACGAAGAGCGATCCCACAAAACACGCACCGGACCCCGAGGCCGCACACAAGCAGCAGTTGGCGCCGACGGATCCTGACACGACCAAGAGACTGCTCCAGTCCTTCATTACCTGCATCATCGAGGCCTACGTCAACTGCACCGGCATGGAATGGGCCTCTCGCCTGCTGGAATTCTACAACCCAGAGCGTGTCGTGATGCGCAAGAGCGTGTTGCGAGCCTTTAAGGAGGACGATGATCTCTTGGCGAGGGACGCTCTGGTTGGCCAATTAGTCGTATGTACCTTCGTCTGATGTTGCTCGGACGGACGAACTCGCTAACAAATAACCCAGGCACTTGCAGGAGATCTCGGCTTAAACAGAGTGCGTGCTCTTTCCGTCAAGGACATCTTTGAGGGCTCCATCCCCAACAGCCCGCTAGCAGTCGAGACCGATGACCTCAGCCCCGACAACATCAAGCTTTCCACCGGAGGTGTCTGGTGCCTGGTTGCATATTGGCTCTTCTCAGCAGAAGTTTTCGATGCGGACTACGAACAGGTCCAGATGACCATGTTCCCCGATCATGTCAAGCTTCTCGAAAATTTCTTTGGTGAAGACCCGCAGTCGCGCATCGTGGGAAACCCTGGCACCACCGAGGCTCTCGTCGTAATGGGACTCTGGCTAGAGAACTACAAGCGCATCTCACCGTCAGAAGGCGACTTCATGCCCTACCACCATCTTCTCACACTTGTCTCTGTGTTCCACCCGACACTATCAGTTCGAAATGTTTCGACAACCCTCGCGGGCCTCGTCCTGCATGACGACCCCGACGATAGCGACCGGCTCAAGATCTTGGAGGATCTCCTTGAGAACTGTATCTTCTCCGCTCTGCAGGCCTCTGCGGTGACGTGGTTGCGAGAAGAATTGATTGTGGCTCAAAAACGCAAGCTCACAAACAGATTCTCGACAACAGATGCAGTCGAGACTCTGCAATATGTCTTGTTCCCCAACATGGCATTCCTCAAAGAGCAGTCCGTTCCCGAAATCTGGGAATACTGGGTGCAAAACTTCCCCTTCCACCTGCAGGTTGCCAACTTTGCGTACTTCCTCTTCGCCGGCACCAGCTTCCAGCACTTGGTGCCGGCTAGCATGCCTGGCGCCGTGGAGCAGCGCTATGTTGAGCCTCTGCTACACGCCGTTAAGACTTTGCAGACGGCTCTGGAGAAGAAGGAAGTGGATGATCAGGGCCAGGGCGAGGAGGTTAAGACACAGCTCGACATTCTGACGATGCGGTTGAAGAGCTTGCCTCTGCAGTAAAAGGTGCTGTTGTTGTACATTGGACGCTGGATATCACGGGTAGCCCCGGCGCGGGTAAGCCGAGATGCTCTGTGGTATGGGCTTTGCATTTTCGGGAGTAGGTTCATGGCGGAGTCTCTTATGAGTTACGAATTACCTTGGCTGCTGAGCAACGAGCAGCTGTATGAATTTAAAACAAAATTTTCTCCTAAATATGCTGCTAGCTGAGCGTGGTGTTTTGTGGCGTCTCTTCGTCAGAGTTCATCAGAGGAAAGATCAGAGCCTAGGAGCGGGCCGCGGTGAAGTGCGAGAGACCACCCGTCACCGAACTCGCACTACAATGCATGGAATGCATTCCACTACAGGCCACCTCACGTGTCGTCTTATCCGTTGCGGACTCACGCTGTTCATGAGCGGAAGATGGCGTCGACGGCGTCAGTGCGGAAGGGCGAATGTCTAGAAGCCCGTCATATTTGACCCGAAAGCCGCATGGTTCTAAACGCCTGCTCTGACGATCCACGGCCAACTTGGACGTTCTGGGGATGAGGACGTTGCGAACGTTGTCACGGTTGTCAAATGCCGTCAGGTAGACGCGGACTGTGGCGAGTGATTCGTGGCTGTGCACCATCGATCTTGGTGTAGATCCTCGATCTATTGGACCAGGAGAGCTCGAGGTAATACATCCGAAGCACAAGTGTGGCGCCAGTGGCTTAGCTCATGTGCAATCAGATCTCCAGATGTACATGTTTGGAGGACGCAGCGGTCCAAGGGGCTCGAGCCCAATTTGGCTTCATGTAGGAAACAGCTGGCAAATCCTAACGCAGTCTCACCATCTCATCTCGGTTGAGGGGGGCCGGTTTGCGTACCTTCCGTCATGCTGTACTTTACTTGTCTCACCATAGATCGCCAACGTAATTCGATTGAAATAAAAGCAATATGTTGTCAAGGAGGTAACGCCGATTACCCAAATTGTAAGAAAAACCTGAACTGAGGCACTCGGGACGGGATTGTGGCGGTTTAATGCGAACGAGCCACCGGGGGAGAGTCTCCGGACGTGACCATCGTAGATTGCCCTCTGAGCGGTTTGGCACGGGCCAGCCCGGCCCAGCCAATGTCATTCCGTCGCACAGACCAGGAAGCTACCTCATCGGCAGGGGCGCACCCTTGCAGATAACCGCCTTAGCGTCACCTTCGGGAAGTGATGTCATTTTCGACCAGGGGGTGGTTGGAAATGAAATTCCAGCTCTGTGCTGCTCCTGATGCTTGCACTACTGCACTGTTATTTGCTGCAGATGGACAGCTTTGGAAACAGCAAAGCAAGAACCAGTTCGGCTTCAGGTCCCAGAGCGCAAGCCGCAGCCACGTCCAGGCGCCCTCCTTCCTGTGCTCCTCCTCCGCAAAGCTCGCAAGCTTGATTTTCGCGTGAAACTTTCCGTGGGCCGGACAAGTCTTTCTGCTGTACCTTATTATTCCCGGAACCAAACAGATCGGCCGATGAAGAGGGTGGTATCGGCATTCTTTATGCTTCCCGTCCGTCCCTTTCGCCTTTTTAGCTTGCGGAGTTCGAGGTCCTTAGTCTCCTTCATTGCTCCGGACGTCAACCTCTGCGTGACAACCCAGCCAAGAACAAGTGACGCGACTTGCGCACCAAGACCAACTTCGCCCCTAAGACCTCTTTAGCCACGCTATTTTCAAAACGTATCTCTACCTACCTACCTTAATGTCCACATTGGGATGTCAGCCCTGAGCTAAACACCAAATTTCTCACAATCGATCTCAACTTCCTTTCCATAACCGCAACTCCCCTCCTCCCCCTTCCGCACCACCGTCAGAGACGAAACTCAATTCAAGAGCAGACCTGACACCACCACACGCCAACCCGACGCCATCATGGCGCATCCAACCGCCGCGGCACAACTGGCCTTGGGCACCGCGACCGAGTCCGAGGCGACAGCGACCCCTCCTCCCGAGCAGCTTCACATTGACGAAATTGATCGCGATGGAAGACACATTGGTGTTGTGCGAGACGAGAACAGGAACATTGTCTACCCGTCCTTTGTACCACCCGAGGTCGACTCGCCGAACGCTCGATCACCGCAATCCACGACCGCGCCTACAGTTCCCGAAATACCACCAAAGGATGTAAGGGCCACAAAGACCGAGTCGGCCCCAAACGGCCCTGACCACCTCGAGGTTCCCGGAACGTCGAACACCCAAGAACGCCCTCCCATAGACAAGAAGTGGAGGACCGAGGCGCCTGCACGAAAAGCTGGCCAGAGCAGCGCGACACGGCGGAACGTCCCCAAGCGATCCGGAACATCGTACCTCGATAGGGCACTCTGGGAGGCCGACAGAGGAGGTTCGAGCTCGAGTTCGAGCTCCAGCGACTCCTCCGATGACGAGAACGCCCAAGACAGCAAAACCCCGGCCGAAAGGAAAAAGGCACAAGATAAAGCCAATGCGAGGCGGCAAAAGGAGATTGCCGAGCGCTACCGCCGCTTCCACGTCGGCAATGACAATTACAACACCAAGGGCAAGGTGAAGAAGGACGGTCGTCTGCGCATCTCGGTCAAGGAGACGGCCAATACCGGCTACTTGGCCAAGGCGTTAGGACAGGCCGTCAAGAAGGTGGTGCCCGTTCCCGAAGGTGAGGACCAGGGCGAGAATGCGCAGCGTCCGTCCGTGTCACGTCTCTCCTCCGCTACCACGGCCACGGCCGACCGCGAGCCGAAGCCGCGCTTGAATATTGTCATCATGGTCATTGGCTCCCGCGGTGACGCGCAGCCTTTTCTCAAGATTGGCAAGATACTCAAAGAGGACTATGGACATCGCGTCCGTATTGCGACGCACCCCGCCTTCCGCGAGTTCGTCGAAAAGGACTCCGGTCTGGAGTTCTTCTCGGTCGGCGGCGACCCCTCCGAGCTGATGGCCTTCATGGTCAAGAACCCGGGCATGATTCCGACTCTGGATGCTGTCAAGGCCGGAGACATTGGACGTCGACGATCAGCCATGGCGGAGATGTTTGACGGTTTCTGGAGAGCTTGCATCAACGCCACCGACGACGAGAAGGATGTCCACAACCTCAAGATGATGGGTGAAAAGGACCCCTTCATCGCTGACGCAATTATTGCCAACCCCCCGAGCTTTGCCCACATTCACTGCGCAGAGGCCCTCGGCATCCCCTTGCATCTCATGTTCACATTCCCCTACACTCCGACACAGGCCTTCCCTCACCCCCTGGCCAGCATCAAGAAATCCAATGTGGATCCCGGGTACACCAACTTCATCTCATACCCCCTGGTCGAGATGATGGTATGGCAGGGTTTGGGCGATTTGGTCAATGACTTCCGCGTCAAGACCCTGGGATTGGATGCCGTCTCGACACTTTGGGCTCCGGGAGCGACCTATCGCCTGCACGTGCCCTTCACCTACCTTTGGAGTCCTGGCCTCGTCCCTAAGCCTCAAGATTGGGGTGAAGAGATTGACGTTTCTGGATTCGTCTTCCTCGACTTGGCTTCGACATTTGAGCCACCAAGCGAACTGGAGAAGTTTTTGGATGCTGGGGAACCGCCTATCTACATTGGTTTCGGCTCGATTGTCGTCGATGATGCGGATCGTTTTACCCAGATGATCTTCGAGGCTGTTGAACTTGCCGGGGTTCGCGCGCTCGTGTCAAAGGGCTGGGGCGGCTTGGGAGGTGACGAGATGGACGTCCCCGATAACATTTTCATGCTGGAGAACACGCCTCACGACTGGCTTTTCCCCCGAGTTAAAGCTTGCGTCATCCACGGCGGAGCTGGAACCACCGCAATCGCTCTCAAGTGTGGTCTGCCTACCATGATTGTGCCTTTCTTCGGCGACCAGCATTTCTGGGGAAGCATCCTCGCAACAAGCAAAGCCGGACCCGAGGCTGTACCCTACAAGCAATTGGACGCCGAGAAGCTCGCCGAGGGCATCAAGTACTGCCTTACGGACGAGGCGAAAGAAGCGGCCGCTAAGGTCGCCAAAGACATTGAATTGGAAGGCGATGGCGCCAAGAATGCTGTGCGGTCATTCCACCACCACCTAACTCTAGGAGGCATGAATTCGATGCGCTGCTCCATTCTGCGTGACCGACCGGCAGTCTGGACACTGAAGAACACCAATGTCAAGCTCAGCGCCCTCGCCGCCGACATCATTGTCGAGGAAGGACAACTTTCGTGGAAGAGGCTAAGACTGCTGCGGCACACGGAATGGAACGACTTCGAGGGCCCTGGAGAACCGGTGACCGGTATCGCGGGCTCTCTCGCCGGCACGATGGGCAACGTTTTTGGTGGCATCGGCAGTGTTCCCTACAGGATTGCCAAGACGTCACATAAGCGCAAAGAGAAGAAGGATAAGAAGAAGAAGTTGAGGGCCCTCCGAGATAAGCGCACGAGTGCCAAGGAACGGAAGGCCGCGACCAACAGCAATGGCGCGCTGCAACCGCAGGAGGGTGACGAGGACAATTCCAAGAAGGAGGGCGACAAGGCGAAAGCAAAGGGCGGGGACGACAGCAAAGCGCAGAAGAAAGATGAAGGAAAAGCCGAGGACAACAAAGCAGATAAGGAAGACGGCAAGAACAAGAGCCAGGGAGAGCAATCCCACGCCAACGGAAACGCTTCTTCTGCTAGACCGGGTGCGCAAGAACGTCGCGATACCATGTCATCGATCGATACTGGAACTACCGTCGACGACGCCGTCGGAGACTACGCCAATGAGGTCGGCGAGGGCGTGGGCAAATCGGCACAGGCCCTGGCGAGGGCACCGGTAGACCTATCCATGGCCATCGCTCAGGGATTCCACAACGCTCCTCGGCTTTACGGTGACGATACCGTTCGACGCCCACCACGTGTTACCGGCATCAGCTCTGGATTGAAGGCGGCCGGCAAGGAATTCGCTTACGGCATCTACGACGGCACGACCGGCCTCGTTCGCCTACCCGTCCGGGGTGCCAAGAAGGAGGGCGTCAAGGGATTCGTCAAGGGAACAGGCATGGGTCTCACGGGATTCGTACTCAAGGATCTCAGCGCCATTATTAGTCCCGTTGGCTACACTCTGAAGGGCATCGCCAAGCAAGTCGAACGGAAGAAACAGCCGGATCGAGTCGTCCGTCGGGCCCGTCTTGTACAGGGCCAACGCGAAAGACGGAACCTCCCAGGCGATTCAAAGAAGCAAACTGACAAGGACGTAGTCACTGGTTGGTATACTATTCGCGAACTCCTGGAGACCCTCGAGGCCGAGAAGAAGCAAGGCATCAAGGGAGTCTTCTCGCACAAGAAGCAACGAGTCAATCACGCAGCCTTTGAGAGCGTCGACATTGCCGACCGCACCCTACAGGCGATCAAAAAGGGTGAGGATATAAGCACTGTCGTCGGCACGGAAAAGGAGCTTCGCAAGGCGGATGAGAAGTTGAAGAGTCCTGCGACTAGACATAGTGTTGATACGAGGCGGTCGACCGAAACCGCGCGGGCGCGCAAGTCTGCTGAGGATCAGGAGAACTCGGAGGGCTCGGACAAGAACTCGTCTAAGAGGAGAAATGATATCGCGGAGAACGAGGAAGGGGAAGCACGAGCCGAGGCGGCAGACCGCGCGGATGCCAAAGACAAGGCTGCCGCGGAAGACGCACAAGACAGAGCGAAGGCTTCTGAGACCAAGTCTAAGGACGGAGCCCAGGTTAATGGCACGGCTGGAGTAGAGCATAAGACGCAGTCAGAGGAGGACGGGCATCGCCGGCCCAGCGTTGATCGCGCGAGGTCGGCTCAGGTTTAGGAGTTTGGGAGGCTATCGTCCGTACGGCGTTTCGTTTGTTTTCCGAGTGGGTGAGGAGAGAGATTTCCAAATCAGACAGACAGACTAACCCCCAGCGCCCAGGCATGTTCGGCACATGCGTTGTTTGGCTTTGGGACTCCTTTTTAGATACTTTTTCTGACTTATACCCCCACCCCCTTTTTCTTGGTATTCCTGTGTAGGAGTAGCGAGTAGTTTTCTAATCAAACTTGATATCCAAGAAGAGGTTCCGATGCGTTTGTGAGCATGGCTTGTACGTAACCTACGGGTCTTTTGTGTACCAGAAGGCGAAGACGCAAACATGGTCTAGGAGGAGGGCCAATGCATAGAGGATTGGCAACGTGTCGAACCGCGCGATGTTCAGCATACCTATATAGGGTGTTATCCGATGGCCCTATTTTCCCCCGTCGTACCAGATCCTGCTGTCGTTGCTCGGTAAATGCTTAAGACGAGGTAGTGGAGGAATGTGCATTCCTTGTACGATGGACCCCGGAGTCTGAGGTAGGTACGAATTACTTCTTCCCAAGGCGCCTTCCTCATATATGACCCAGGTCCATAGTAACAGGCGTCTGCATCGCGGGGTCATAATACAGGGTTATAATATACCCATACAATATGCCCGTACAATATGCCTTTATAATATATTCTTATAAGGTATTTTTTATTTTGTGATATTTATTTAAATATAATTATTAAAAATTTAGAGGGCTAGTAAATCAGAACGCTATAATTTATGTTACTCTTATAAATATCTTTCTTGAGAATAATTAAGGCAAGATCGACCTTAATAGAATCATGCTTCCTAGTACCTGTTAGCTATATTTATTATACTTAACCGTACTATTATCTCGAACAAGCATCTAATATAGAGTGGGATCTGATGTTGATACACCTTTGTGCCGGCTAGTCCTGGATACGGCCCCTGTTTCTAAACAAGGCGGTTGATAGAGTCCCGTAAAATGTCTCCCTGTGCTTGGAACGGGACGAACTGGGTCTTATTATACTCTCGTGAATTTTCTTATTACGGTACGGCTACTAAACATTCCGTCTATTGCGCAAGCGACTATAATATCTCCTTGCGACTGACTGCCGCTAAGCTAAAGTGCCTCGTAGGTCTTCGAATAGGTCCGGAGAGAAGCGATCACCGCTTAGTACTCAATCTAGCTTAGAAACTTTCCACTACGATCTTTGACGCTAATGGCTATGACGTAGACTCCCGGGTCTGTCGTGCATTAATCATACCAATGTTGCTGATTCTCGTAGTCAAACGCAGCCGTCCTTTATACGTCAAGAGGTGTCGTGGAATAGCCTGGAGCAGCTCCGACGTAATCTAATCTTTATCACAGTCTCTTTGAAGCTGGGGGATCGTGGCAATCGGGGCCCTGGGCATCTTTGCGTCTTCGAGGTCTTTGACTATACCGGGGAATAGTAGTGACACTTCGCGGAAAGAATCCCCTCGCGCCAATGCTTCCAAGAGCCTCGCTTTGGCGCCGCCCATCTGAGGATATTGTAACGAGGGGGTAGGTAGGAAGAAACATGTAGTAGATGTGTAATTGCTAGTCAAGAGGTGACGCTGTCATATAAACATGACCTCCATCCTCGTGGTGGGGCGCCGAGGGGCGGGGTAGGTCGAGGAGCGGTTGACGCTGGACGCAGATCTGCCTGTCGCTTTGCGACTTGGAAATTGATATCCTGACGGCTGCTGCTGGCGTGTCGGGGCAGAGGCGGCGGGCTTCTTGGTGTCTGCCCCGTGACTGCTAGCGAGTCCCGAAGTATTGTTTTGCTTCGAGGCATCCTCCTCTAGAATCTTCGACTCCTTAAAGACCGCGTAGCGACAAGCATATGGCTTGCGGGTGATCTCCGGCATACCCTTCGACTTGGGCCAGATACCAGGAGCACCTACACGAAACCATTAGTTGATTCTCTCAAATGCAAAGGCGCCAAACTTACCAAGACTTCGCCACATCGCTCTCATCGCGAGCCATCTCGAGACCCCGTAGCTCACGTCTTGCTCGTTACTTGCCATTAGGTAGACGAATCCAGCGATGAGACATTCTGTATACATGGTCTCCAGGCCATTCACGTCTAACTCGGGCCTGCACTTGACGACGTGGAAGAGGACCAGCTCCCCTAGGGAGGCGAACTCTTCTTCTTCCTCTTCGCTATCCGAGTCTGCCTAGGCCTTGCTGGGAGTGGCTGAAAACCGTGCAGGGAGGAGGTCCCTCAAGGGGGTCTCACCGTGGCCTGCTGAGAACCAGTCGTCTATCATGCGCTCGAGGTTTCCCACAGGAAACAAGCGCGTGGATGACTGAGTGTTTTGCTCGGCAGCAGGAAGCTTCTCTTCCTCGGGTAACTTCTCAGCCATCTCAGGCTCCTCGGTGGCGGCATCGGCGGCGGCAGTGGAGGGTTTCTCCTCCTCGGGGGTCGCGGCGTCTACCGGTTTCTCATCTCTCTCTTCGCGTGCCTCGGCGGCAGGCGGCGGAAGTTCGGTCAGATTGACCATTGTTGCTTCGTTTTCATATGTGGCGTTCTAAAAAAAAAGTTGTTTGTTTACGAGACAAAGGGCAAGAGGGAGAGGAAACCACAAGATCGATAATGTCACCAGAGAGAGAAGTGCGAGTTGGGCCCAGGGGACCCACTCTGCAATCTACCTTGGCCAACCAGGAGTCGAGGCTCTGGAGCTTCAATTGAATTCATTACAAGGCAGGTGGTTACCTTACTTGAGTGATGCCTACAGTGGGGTGTCAAAAGTTCGTGTACACCCCACCATTGTCCCCAATTACCTAACCTCCTGCATTTTCACCACTATACTTCGACTGGCCGCAGAACTGTTAATTTTTTGATTTGTATGGCGAAAGTATATATAAAAGAAAGCCCTGAGTTCGCTGTTTAGTATCGTGTATACTAACTACGTGCCTAAATTACTGCCGTAAGTTGGCGCAGTAGGGAGTTAATTAGACTCCGAATCTATCGGATTAGAAATCCAATTCAACCACAGCATACGGCCAACTACGCAGGGGCCAATTAAGGACCCTATTTACAATTATTATAACTAGCCTAACCTATAGTTAGAACCTCCTTTTTATACCTATATAAAAATTTATATAATTTAATTAATTTCTTTATTAACTTATAGTTTAAACTAACTATTTTATAATAAAAATACTAATACTAATTAATAATTAAATTCTATTATTATAAATTAGTAAAGTATTTCGCTATATAAAAAAAATAACTTTTTAATACTATATAGGATAAGAAATTCGTATTAATTAATTTTATAAAAATAAATAAAAAAAAAGATAATTTTTAAATATTATACGGAATTAAGTAATTATAGCCCTTTATTACTTATAAAAGGTCGACGTTTATTATATTAAACTACGTTAATTAATAAAACTACTTAAATAACTAGTTTTTTATTATTATTTTAAATAACTTTTTTATTAAATAACTTTTTTATAACTAGCCTATAATTAAAAATTAACTAGTTAAATTAGTAAAAAAAAATACTTATATAATAACTATTTTCCTAATTAATTAATATAACGAACGAGCTTAATAATATAATATAAAAAAGTACTACGTAGTTAAAAAAAAAGATTTCTAAATATAAATATTTTTATTTAATAATAAAAGTAACTTTATAAGAATTATAAAACTAAGAGATTTATAGTATATAAAAAAGTCTATTATTACGAGGATTTTATAAATATAATTATAAACTTATAATCTAAATAACCTTTATATAGTTCCCTTAACTACTCTCTAAGTATTATTTTAAAATATAATATAAGGGACGGTTTTATAAAAGAAGAGGGGATTTAAAAGTCCTAATAATATTAAGTTAAAAGTATTATAAATTTTAAAAATTAATTTAAAAAAAAGGTAATTACCCTAAAATAATCTTACGACCTCTTATTAAAATTATAATTAGCTTAAAAAAAAATTAAAAAAATAAGGATCTAAGAGGAAAAAAAAATCCTTTAAAGGGCTATTAAAAAACTTCTTTTTTATACTAGTTCTTAGTATAAAATTACTAATTTTAAAAAATTAACTAAATAATAAAAGGAATTATTAATAAATAATAATTACCTAATAATAATTAAGCTATAAAAAAAACTACTTAAAAAATATAAAATAAGGTACTAAGAAATAGCTAAAAAAAAATTTTTTAAAGTAATTAACCCTATTTAATATGAGTAACGAAATAGTAAGTATTTTTAATAAATCTTTTAAATCCTCGATTTTATAAAAAAGAGGGCTTAATTTTACTAACTATACCTAACTACTTATTTAGCTCCTAATAGCCTATCCGGCTCTTCTATAAGCTATTTAATATTTATTTCTAACTATTCTTTTAAAATACTACCCTAAAAAAGGTAAGTTAAAAAAAAAAAATTTAAAAATTATAAAAAATACGAGGCTTAAGAAGTTAGAAATATATAAAATAATAAAAATTAATAATTAATAAAAATCCCGAGATTAATTCTTATATTTTCTTATAATAATATAAACGTTTACTACTATTATTAAAAAAAAAAACTATTAAAACTTACTTTTTTATATTAAATAAAAAAGAGGATCTTAGTAAGTATAATAGCTAGTAATTTAAAAAAGTAGTAATAATTATTAGAAATAGTAAAAACGAGAGTAGTAGTGAGGTAGTAAAAAGAAGTAAGAATTATTTAAATTTTAATAAATTCGTTAAGTAATAAAAGTATGAATTTATTATAATTAGTACGTAAATTAGATATATTTTTATTAAAATTAAATATATTAATAATTACTAATATAAGTATAAGCTAGAGTACGACCCTTAGTAAGTTAAGGTAAAGGAGAAAAGAACGAAACTTAATTTTAAATAGAATACTAATCCTTTATAAATAAATAAATATTAACTTAAATTATTAAGGGACGTAGATATATAAGATCGTAAATTAGCCTAATAACGAGTAAATTAATATAATATTAATCTATTTAACTAAGGTTTATAAAAAAAAGGGGCTATAGGGGTAACCCCTATTTTATAAAATTATAAACGACTTTAATTACTAACTAAACGAATAGTTTACGAGCGTAAGCCTAGGAATTATAAAAGTAGTTAATAAATTCCTCTATAAGTAAGAGGTATTACTAACGTAATTATAATTATAAAAACTATATAAAATCTTAATAATAATAATTATAAAAAAGGAATTCGTATTATAGAACTAGGTATAAGTTAATAAAGTATATAATCGCTTTAATAAATTTAAAAAAAAGGTAAATAACTTAGATTTTCTTTTTATAATTACTAATAGTAATTTATTATTATAAAAGGATATATAGAGGTAAAATATAATATTAGAAATATAATAATTAATAATTCTACTTATTTTAATTTATAATTTATTATTATTATTAATATAAAATTTAGTATTCCCCCCGACGGAGTAATTTACTAGGGCCGTACTATATATTACGTATTAGGGAAAACTAAGTATATTTCGCTCTATACCTAATTACTAATTAAAATAGCTCCCGACCTTCCCTTATAATTTTTTAAGTTCTAGCTATTTAGAGAGCGAGCTATACCTACTCTAATATATATAAGACTTCTTAGTACTAGCCCGTATAAGTAGCTAGATCCTATATTATATACTCCTTTTTATTAAGGATTAGGGGGCCCCTTATATATTCCTTTATATTTATAATATAGCCCGTATTAAAGGGATTTTTAGCTCCGTAAAATATAATTTCTAAACTAGTATTAATATACCGGATTTTAACGTCTATATTAGCCTAGCTATTTACGGTATTTATATTATTACTTAGCTAAATTTTATATTACTAAAAAGTATTTTACTACTTTTTAAATATACTTACGTTAATTATAATAGCTATAGTGTCGAGCTAGCTAAAGAGGGTGCCTAGCCCGAGAGGGGTAAACTTATTAACGAGTATTTTTAAGTAAGGTTCTTATTGAGATAGTATTTTAACTAGCTAACTTCTTAACTAGTTATCTAACTAGCTATTTAGATAGTAGTTTATATATTAATAAGTTTATTTAGTAAATTTATTTAGTAAATTTGTTTAGTTTAAATAGAGAGTAGCTTTAGGTAATATTAAAAACGATAAAAATAAAAAGAATTTTTATAAGCTTTAGTATAAATAGTAAATATTAGCCTATTTAGCCCTTTTTTTAAAAACCTTTACGTTATTATTAAAATTTAGAACCTCTATAGTTAAGGGCCGCTTTTAACTATTATGGCTAACTATTATAACTAACTATTACGGCCGACTTCTACCGTTAACTTTTTTAGTTAGTACTATTACTAAAGAGGGTAGCTTACTTATCCCAAATTATATAGCGGTTTTTATATTAAAATTATTATATTACGTTAAGCGCGTGCTTAGGATATATTATGTATATTATATAGTTAAAAAGTATACTATATTATGTAATTTCTTTTAAAAGCGTAATTTTGTTAAGGTCGATCTTTTGCGCTTATAAAACCGGAAAAAAAACCACTATATAAAATCTAGTATTAATTAGTTAATAAAAAAAAAAGTAAACGACTTAAAATTACTAATAATACGTAGTAATATAAAGATCGTATATAAATACTAAAAATATAATAATAAATATAAAGTAATTTATAGATTTTAAAAAAATCTTTTTAAAAAAGAAATTATATTTTAAAAAGAAGTACGAGGTTTTATAAAAAACTTTAATAATATTTTATAACTATTATAAAAAAGTTAGGATTAAAGAATACTAGTATTATTTAATAATTAATATTATACTCGTAAATAAAGCCTCTAATTATTACTACGAAGTAGTATATAATCTTAATTAAAATAACTTTTTTAATATTATTAACGTAATTTAAAGCTACTTTAAGACTTATAATAAGAATCTAGAGCTCCTATTTAAGCTATGAGTAATTTTTTTTTATATTTATAACTAAAATAATAGAGGGTAAATTATAAATAAAAATCCTTAAAAAGCTTATTAATTAAATTAATAAGCTAATAAAAACTTAGCTAAATAAGGGGATTAATAAGTAAAAAATTAAATATTTTTATATTATAATCTAGTATATATTAAAAATAAAAATAACCTTATATTAAGTATTTAAAGACTACGAGACGCTTTACTCGAGGCTAAGATCTAGCTTTAATATTAAAATAAAAATACTATACTAAACCTATTTCTAAGTATATAATAGCCCTTATTAATAGTATTAAGTTAACTAGATATATAAAAAAAACTAAAAAAACTAAGTATAATAATTATTAATAAGGAAGCCTAAATTTGTTAAATAAGTAAAGATTTAACTCGTAAATAGGGTAATAAAAAAATAATATTTTATTTATAAAAAGGATAAATATTAGTTAAGTAATTATTTTAAAGAGGAGTATATTAAATTATATAAATAATATAAAAAGTCGAGGGTAGTAAATAGTAAAACTAGCCCTTGTTAATTTAGCTAATTCCTTATTATATATAAAAATAAA